ATATATATATATATATATATAACATTTTGTATTAAAGCCTGGAAAGCATTGCAACTGTGGTCACTGGAAGCTCGGGCTTCTGCAGTTTCCTCCCAAACTGAAGCATGGAGTTCCAGTTTAAATTTGGCTTGCAAATGGTGAGCACTCATTTGGTCAGCACGGTAGCCTGACCGCGCTGACCAATGAGAAGCACTTCTCTTTCTTTCTCTCTTTGCCTATCTTAGCAAGAAGTCAGGTGACCACGGAGACCAATGAGCGCTCGCCATTTGCAAGCGAAATTTAAACAAACTCTGTACTTCAGTACGGAGCGTCAGTTTGGTAGGGAACTGCAGAAGCCTGAGCTTTGCAGCCATGATCCAGTGATCCCAGTTGCAATGCTTTCCAGGCTTGAATACAAAAATAAAAAAATAAAAAAAGTTTATATTAAATATGCATTTAAAAAAAAACATTTTTGCAAAAAAGGGGAACTTGGCCTTTAACCACTTGCTGACCGGGGTGTTAAACCCCCTCCTGGCCGGGACACATAGAGCTTTCTTTTGGTGTTATTTAAATCACCACTGGGGTTTTTATTGTTTACTATATCACAAAAAAGTACTGTAAATTGTGAAAAAAAAACCCGTTCCCCTATGAAATGTGATGAAACATTTATTATCGCTCCAATTTATTTGTAAAATATAAAAGACGAGGTCACGTCGGGTAGATATACACCAAACATGTCAAGCCTTAAAATTGTGCGTGCCAGCGAAATCGCAGAAAACGACCACGCCCAAGTTGGCCCTAGGAAATCCCACTGTGTATCAGCTTTTTGCAACAGGTTTCAGCAACAGAAACATTTAGCAAAAGGTTTCTTTGTTGAAACATTGTACCAGACTTCTGAGAGTTCTGGGAACGATCAGAAGTCTTTAGTGACATCTGATCCTGAAATGCTGCAGTATGAGCATTTCAGGCTCAGTCACTAAGGTTATTATTGGCTGTTCATAAGTTTGGAGCAGCTTAATAGCCAAATATTAAAAAAATGTATGTAATTATCAAGCAGTCAGTCATACTGGAGAATCATTCACAATGACAGCTTGATGTAAATTGACAAAAAACAAAACAAATTTAAAAATATAAAAAATTT